GTCAATTTTTATTTATGTAAGGGATTGTTGGAAAAAATAGACTTTTGGTGACTTTAATTAAATATTAAAGTGGGTCCCAAACATCTATTGTGTTGGGTCCAAGTGGGTCTAGATATTTTGCAATGAGATCTTTATACCACAAATAGAATGGCCAAAAACCATTGAGAATTGAATGAGAAATTGCCCTATGAAGTTAGCTTCATGAAAGAGTTAATGGGGTTTGTAACTTCTACCTTTATTGTAGAGTTTAATAGTGCATTAATGGGGTTTGTAACTCTTGCCTTTCTTGCAGAGGTTAATGGTGCATTAGTGGCCAGCCATAAAGGCTGGAGGCTTCTCCTCTCTCCCCTATACATGTATAAATTGAGACTTTCATGTCAAGTCTCAAACACAGAAGTTGTTTCTTCCATTCTTTAGTCAGTTTGCTAGAAATTTCTTACTATGAGAGAGTGCTGCCATTGTCGGTTCGCCAAAGCTAACAGAAGGTGCTTCTAAGTTAGCCGGTTTAAACCATCTTATCTTGAGAGACAGAAGTCGACGTTCCTCCAGTACCCACGGTGAGGCGGCTAATCTGTTTTAAGGACACTGTGGTATCACACAGAATTTGGTTTGATTTCTTGTTTTCATATTCAGATTAAATATGTTCTTATATTAGTCATGTTTCATGTTTATGCTCTATGATGTAATTTATCAATTATAGTTTTATTTGATGTTCTTTCAGTTAATTTAATAAAGCATGAATTTATTTATTTTGTTTCAATTACCCAATTTAAACAACACTACATACGTACCGGATAAACGAAACACGAACCCAAATTTTTCTTCTTAATTTTTAACGTACCCAGAAGTACCTAGCACATACTGTAGACACCCCATTTTTGACCGACCTTAAGACTCAGACGTCACCGATTGAGCGCTTGGTGATGTTGCATATCGTGCTCGTTCAGAGGTTTCAGAGTCTCGGCTGCGAGCCTTGCCTCCGGACTTCTGGACTCTTTCATGTTTTGCCTCGGTTTGCGAACCAGGCTCTGTTTTCTCTTCCCGAAGGGAGGGAGAGGTCTCGTAGATCATCTCTCAGTGGCCATAGGCTACGTTTCGTGGTCGTAGGCCATTTTGCCCGTTTGGAGTCCGGTTTCCGATTTTTCGGAGCCGTTGGCCATGTGCCTCGGTTCGGGACCGCTTAACCACCTCCGTTTGCTCCGATTTTTGGCATGCATCTTATTTGCTCCTTTTTGAGGGACACTGTGGCTCGAGAAACCGACTTCGTGGTCGAACACCATTTTCGATGCCTAACAGTCAGTTTTCGGGGGCCTCGGGCTGCGCGTTTCGGACCCCGAACCTCCATTTTGCATCGGTTTGAGTTCATTTTTGGCAGGGACCTCTGTTTCATTGTTAGGAAGGTCGTAGAAGGGTGGAAGGCCAATAATTGTTCTGACAACCAGTTTTATTCCTCCATCGCCCTCCGTCGCCCGTTTTTCTCACTTGAAAGCCAATGTTGACCATCCTAAGGCCACTTTTTCCAGCCCTAAACCACATATTTGTGTTGTACACACCTGGGAGGCCACCAATATCACATGGCCGGCCAATAATTCTGTGTGACCCTTTTGAACCCCTCCTAAAAGTGGCATTTTCTCTCTCCTGGTTCATTTTCTCCAGTTTTTGACCACATGATTGTGTTGTGCACACATGAGAGGCCCTCTTTTTGGCATGGCCGGCCATTAATCTTGCTTGAACCTTTTGACCCTTGGCCGGCCGGCCATAGGGAAGGCCAGCCGGCCACCTAAACCCTAGCAAACCAGCCGGCCATGATCCTCTCTCCAGGTACATTACAAATATGCCCTCTGTTTCCCCCCAGATTTTGTATCCGGGGGGGCCAACTTTTGGGGAGAAACTTGAATTCCTTTCCCCCCCTTTTTTCCCCCCTCTTTTGCCTATATATCCAGGCCATTCCAGCAGCTTCAGGGGGTTAGAAAGTTTTGGTTTAAGTCTCTTGCATTCAATCTCTCTCCCTCTATATTCCAAACATCAAAACCCCTCAAGTCCTACACCATTTCTACACCATCTCCATGCCAACCAATCCACACTCCATTCCAGCAGCTTCAAGGCCATTTCCAGAGGTCAAGGGCTCCCAAACTTGGTCCAAGAGTTGTTGAAGACATAGGCTACAAGGGTAAGTCTCATTCTCCCTCTTTTTTGCCTATTTTTGCTCAATATATTAGCTCCTCTTGCTTGCATATTTGGGCTCCGACCCTAACTGAAAATAGCATTATTTTGAGCTCCTTTTCATGTTTGTTTAAGGGCCTCTCCCTGTTTGAGGCTTCCTTTTTACACTTGCTTCTTCAACTCTCTTTTAGGCTTTATTTTTGCATAGTATTTTTGGCCTGTTTGTGAGTTGTTTTGGACTTTGCCATAAACTGTAAAATAGCTTGTTTTGAGCCCCTCTTCAACATTGTTGAAGGGTCTTTCTCTGTTTGAGGCCTCCTGATATCACTTGCTTCTTTAACTCTCTTTTAGGCCTTATTTTTGCATAGTATTTTTGGCCTGTTTGTGAGTTGTTTTGGACTTTGCCATAAGCTGTAAAATACCATGTTTTGGGCCCCTCTTCAACTTTGTTGAAGGGCCCTCCTCTGTTTGAGGCCAGCAACCATCATTTGCTTCTTTGTCTCCCTTTTGGCCCATTTCTTACACAATGTTTTAGGCCTGTTTGTGTTTAGATCTGTGGCTTGTTGTGAACTGTAAAGTGCTTCATTTTGAGCCCCTCTTCAACTTTGTTGAAGGGCTCTTGGCCATTTAGGGCCAGCAGCTGGTACTTGCTTCATTATCCCTCTTTTGGGGCCATTTTTGCATGTTAACTTAACCCTATTTGTGTTCACTTTTTGGCCTTGCTTAAAACTGTAAATATGCTTGTTTTGGGATTGTCTTGATTCTGTCTTCACACTTCATGTTCGAATAATGCATGCTTCGCATAGCCATAGGTCATTCCATGTACCCAATTTCATGTTTCGGGTCTCATTCCATGCATCGGGTGCCATGTTTCCATATTTCGAGGCTGTTTTGCATCATATTTCAGCACTGAAATTTGCATGTTTGCATACCATGTTCCATGCCTTGCCATGCTTTGGTAGAGTGGCATTCGTGTCTTACGTTCGGTCCTCGATTTGCGTGCATGTGTGCACGCATTTCGAGTGTCTCATTTTTCATCTCATGGCTACTAATGTGAGTGTGGCTGTGGTCCACTCATGTTGGTGTAAGTCCATTGCGCATTGTGTATGCCATTTCATTTTATAGCATTGTGTATGCTAGGTTGTATGTTAGCGCATTGTGTATGCCATGTTACCTCGTGCATCGTGTATGCCATTTCATAGCATTGTGCATGCTAGGTTGTATATTAGTTGCATTTATGCATGTCATGCATATTGCATTGTGTTTGGGATAGGAGTTAGCCCGAGCACGGAAAACGAGGTACGTTTCGTACTCCGAGTGACGGAACGTATCTCAATTCCTGGTCGCCGACACTCCGGATTATCTATGATGGAGTCTAGGCCCTGTTGTGTTTTCATGTGCATTCATTTCATATTGAGTCGTGCAATTCAACTCCTCAGCCATCATGCATCGATATGTGTGATTGGTGGCACGAGGATCGAGGCATGCATACATTTGTGAAAATACATTGCCATGCCCTTTTCCTGCTCTCTGTTGCAGCAAATCAAGAATC